AGAAAAATGCAAGAAAAAAAAACTCAAAGAAAATGTTGAAATGTTGCTGAAGAACTTAATGAATAGATTAAAACTTAGAAATAAAACTAAAATAAATGGATAGAAAGAGTGAGCATCATAAAGGTAGCATATCTTTGTAAATTAAACTAAAGCATCGATGCAATTCCAACAAAAACACAAACAGGATTTTTATTTAAATTAGACAAGCTGGTTCTAAAGTTCAGTGAGAAATAAGAATAGCCAATAAACAAAATTACAAAAATAAGAGTAAAGAGGTTTTCTGCTAGATATTAAAATACCTTATAAAACAACTATAACCAAAATGTAATAATAGAGCATGTGCAGACAGACAGATCAATGGAACAGAACAGTAAGTCCAGAAATAAACCCAGATAAATATGGGGCTACGGGATACAATAAACATAGCATTTTGTATAAGTGGAAAAAAAAGGGATTATTTATTTAGTAAATAAAATAAGTGACTAGCACTAAAAATATTAAATTTAAATTTATACCTCACATCTTTCACCAAAATAAATTTCAAATGGATTAAATATATAGATATAAAGAAGAAAGTATTAAAGAACTAGAAGGAAACATGGCAGAATTTTTATTTTCATATAATTTCAGGATGGAAAGACTATTCTAAGTATTTTACAAACCCTGAAGCCAGAAACGTAAAGTATATTTTATTACATAAAAATTTAAAATATTTATGAATTGCAAAAATAGGAAACAGAGAGACAAATGATAAATATATAAAGGGCTAATAGACTCAATATGTAAAAACATTTATAAAATCAGTAAGAACCCAGTCAATAAAAACCCAATTGGAAAAAAATGGACTAAGGAGATGAAGAGACAGTTCACTGAGAAGAAAACGCAATGCCTCCTAAACATATGAAAAGATATTCAATTTCTCTCAATAAAATAAAAGCAAATTAAAACTACAATGAAATATTATTTATCTCCTATAAGACTAATAAATATCAAAAAGTCTGGTGACACACTGTGTTAGTAAGATGTGGTAAATAAATACTCGTATACATTTCTGCATAGAGAATAAATTGTACAACCTCTAAAGAGAATATTTTGATATTTATCAAAGTTTAAATGTGCATAACCTCTTTATCCAGCAATTCCACTTATAAGAAATTATACTGCTAATATATTCACACACATGCAAAATGAGACAACTGCATATTCGTGTATAAAAGAATGAAGTTGGACCCTGTTTAGGATTGAATTGTGTCCTCCCAAAATTTATATGTTGACATCCTAGTCTCCAGTTCTTTGGAATGTGATCTTACTGGGGAATAAGATCTTTACAGATGTAATTAGTTAAGATGAGGTGAACCTCTAATTTAATATGACTGGGGTCCTTATAAAAAGGAAAATTTGGACACAGACAGGACAGCGAGAATGCCACGTGATGATGAAGGCAGATATCAGGGTACTGCTCTACAAGCTGAGGAACACCAAAGATTGCCAGTACACCACCAGATGCAGGAAAGAGGCATGGAAAAAACTTTTCCTCAAAGATTGGTTCAGAAGGAACCAACCCTGCTGACACTGTGATCTCAGGCATCTGGCACCCAGAACTGTGAGACGATAATTTTCTGTTGTTTAGGGTACTGAATTCCTGGTACCCGATTACAGTGGCCCTAGAGAAATACTACAGACCTCTACCTCACACCACATACAAAAATTAACACAAACTGAATCAGATACGTAAGTGTAAGAGCTAAAACTATAAAACTCTTAGAAGAAAACACAGGCATAAATCTTTGTGACACTGGATTAATCCATGGCTTCTTAGATATGATGCCCAAAGCACAAGCAACAACAACATAAATTAACTGGACTTCACCAAAATTAAAAACTTTTTTGCTTCAAATTACACTATTTTAAAAAGTGAAAAGACAATCCACAGAATGGAATAAAATATTTGCAAATCATATACCCAATGAGAAATTTGTATCCAGAACATGAAAAGAACACTTACAACTCAACAATAAAATGACAAATCACTCAATTTTTAAATTTGGCAAAGGACTTGAAAAGTCATTTCTCCAAAGAAGATATATAAATGGCCGATAAGCATATGAAAAGATTCTCAACATCACTGGTCATTAGAGAAAATGCAAATCATAACCACAATGACGTACCACCTCACACTCATTACAATGGCAACTGTAAAAACAAAGAAAAAAAAAACAGAAAATAACAAGTGCTGGTGAAGATGTAGAGATACTGAAACCCTTTTATATTGATAGTGGGAATATAAAGTTGTGCAGCCATTTTGGAAATGTTTGGCAATTCCTGAAGAAGTTAAACCTGGAGTTACCATATGACCCAGTAATTTCCTTCCTAAGTATATACCCAGAAGAACTGAAGACATATATCCACACAAATCCTTGTACACAAATATTCATAGCAGCATTATTCATGATAGCCAAAATTGGAAATGCTCATCATGAGATAAATGGATAAAACCATATGTATATGGTAGATCAATACAATGAAATGTTATTTAGCCACAAAATGAAATGAAGTACTGACGCATGCTGCAACATAGATGAACATTGAAAACATTACACTAAGCAGAGAAAGCAGACACAAAAAGCCACATAGTGTATACTTCCATTTATATTGAGTCTAGAATAGGCGAAATACATTGAGATAGAAAATTGATCAGTGGTTGCCAGGGATTGGGACGAGGGAGGGATATAGTAAGCCACTGCTAATTTGTATAAGGTTCCTTTTTGGAGTGATGAAAATGTTCTCAAATTACATAATGGTGAAGTGTACAACTTTGTGAATACACTAAAAACTATGGAATTGTACACTTTCAAAAGGTGAATTTTGTGGTATAGGAATAATATCTCAATTTTTTTTAAGTTCAATTAAAAAAAGATGATGACGGCCTTGGGGTAAAAAAAGAATAGGGCAGCTCTACCTATTTCCAAAATACACGTATAGTCTTGATCTAAGCCAGCATTCTCTCTCCCCTGGATGACTGCAGCAACCTCCTAGCGGTCTGGCTGGTTCTGTCTTTCCCTCCCTACGGCATGTCCTCATACAGCAGCCTAAGTCAGGTCACATCACTTCTTTACTTAAAATCTTCCAGTAGCCCCCATCTCACTCAGAATAGAAGCTAACATTCTTTCACAGCCCCTAAGGCCACATGATCTGCTCCCACTCACCTCTTACTACTCTCCTCTTGCTCAATCAATTTCAGCTACAGTGACCTCCTTGGTGTTCTTGGAATAAGCCAAACTGATTCTGATTCAAGACTTTATCATTTGGTGTTTCTTCTATCTAGAACTCTCTTCCCCAAGACTTCCCCAGGACTCACCGATTCACTTCATCCATGGCCTCCTCCAATGCCAATGACCATCCTATTACAGCCATCCTTCCATCACTCCTTACCCCCTTCCGCTGCTGGATTTTTCTCCTGCACACTTAACACCACCTCCCTGAGAGCAGAGACTATGTTTTTATTTACTGTATCCCCAGCATTAATAGTGGCTGGCACATAATGAGAGCTAAATAAATTGTGATTATCATTAGTGCTGATGATAATAATTAAAAGGTGGAGAGGTGGTGACGCTTTGCCATCCATTTGAAAGTTGAGGTGCATCACAAGGGTCCATGCCTAAAAAGACAACTCTATCTCAATACAAAAGTAGACCAAGAAAGTATGCAAGACAAAACCAAGGTTTTCCTCAAAACCCTTTAGAGGGTGTTTCTGCATATGGGTAAGTAGTGACTTAGAGTATTATTGATCACATTATTATATGTATTCATTACATGCTCAGCTTTTCTATAAATTCCTTGCTGGTAGACCTCAGCCTGGTTCCCTTTACCCCTGTAGCTGCATTTCCCAAACTGTGCTATCATAGAAATTGCCTGTTAAAATGCATATTACTCAGGAGGGCAGGCAGAGGGGAGAGGGAGGTGCTGTGACTCTGCGTTTCTAAAATGCATTTCCCAAACTGTGCTATCATAGAAATTGCCTGTTAAAATGCATATTACTCAGGAGGGAAGGCAGAGGGGAGAGGGAGGTGCTGTGACTCTGCGTTTCTAAAGAGCTCCCAGGTGATGCAGATACTGCTGATCCCAGACCACACTTTGAGTACCAAGGTCTTCAGCACCTAGTACAGGGCCCTATACAGGTTGGCTCAATCAGTGTTGACTGATTGATTGAGTCATTAACACTGGTTAATATCAGGTAGGTGACAGAGCAGAGGAAGGGTTAATAGGCAAAGTTTTAATCCGGTAATAAAAAAAAGCAACAGCTGGAGCCTCTCCGTCTCTCCCTCCGTTTCCTCAGTCTTACCAAAAGTTCATTTGCAGCCACCTTAGTTTCCCCTTCTCTGAGATTTCCACCTTTTGCTAAAATACAGAGGGATGATGTATGATCCTCCCAGATCTGCAACTCCCTTCACTATGTAATGTTGGTACAGCAGGTCCCAATAGGGTGACCAACTCATTCTGATTTTCCTGGGACCAAGCATTAGCACTAAGAGTTCTGCATCCTAGTTTAAAACTGAAAGTCTTGTGTCCCGGGAAACCCCTCTATCCCAAGCAAACTGGGACAGTTAGCCAGCCCACCTGTGCAAGGCTCTCTGTGTAGGGGAAGCAAAGCTGACTGAGTCATCTGTTTGCCCTTGAGGTGTCCGCAGTCCAGTGAGGGTAGCAAAAGAATATTTGTATGGCCTGAACTGCAAAGGTGACTTTGTAAGAAGATCAAATCCACTTACAAATCTAGTTGAAAACTATTAAATGCCCGAAACTCAAACCAGTAATTATTAGGTTAATGCAGAATATGATGTTTCACTCCGAGCACCACATATCATCTGGCTCCTTCCTTAAATCACGGAGGTATAAGAGCAAGTGCTGCTTGCTCTGTTTTATGTGCAGAAATGAGGCGGGCCTCTGAGTTTGTTCTTCCAGGCAAAGTAGAGTCAGAAACAAGCTGTTCTTTGAACAGTGAGTTTGTGGCCAGAACACAGTGCTTTAGAATATGTTCTGAGTGCAAGCCTCTAGCCACCAGAATAAGCAATGACAAAAATCCAAAGTATTAAGGAAAGGAGTTTGTGCTCTAAAATTTATGCATTAGCCGACATAATCATGAGTATTTCTGAGATTCTTGCAATGCAGCTCAGTTATTTTTAACTGGTTGTGTTCCTCAGAAAGCAGCAAGTCATGGAGAGATCTCTGGCTTCCCATGGAACTAAGACCCAATCCACGGGGCTGATGTTGTCGTCTGCACTCCCCACTGCTCAAATGGTAGTTGGCTTTGCATGCTAGCCTAGCATTCAAGTGCACATCAGTTAACACATTTGTGAAACACCAACTCTGTACAAAGTCCCTAGTGGGTGGGAAAGGCCTGCACTTCACATTTGTCAAACGTTTTTACATTTAAAGGGACTTTCCCATCTGTGGACTCAATTCAGTCTCACACAAAATTAGATGGCTTGTAAGTCAAGCAACATTGGGCCCTTCTATAAGCAAGACAGCATGGTAAAAATGCAGCCTTAGAACACCAAGGTCATGGGTTCGGATCCCCGCACCGGCCAGCTGCCAACAAAGACAGCATGGTACGTGAAGCAGCAGGAGCATTGGCACCAGATAGCTCCGGTTTGCACCAAGCTCCACCTCTTTCCATGTGAAGCCTTGGGCAAGTAACTCTCCTCTTAGAATCACAATCATCTCATCTGAAAAAGGTAGACAAAAATTCCATCTTTCAGGCCATTGTAAGTATTTATGCTGTGTGACTATTTAGAAGAGGTACCGATAAATGATACTGTGGCTGTCATTATTATTAGGAAACTAAGACCCATAGAAGTAACTGCAACTTCTAAGGTCACGCATCTGACGTGTGGTAGGACAAAAACCCAGGCATATTTCCTAACATATGCCTCCAGTGTTGTTTCTACTAGACCAAATAGCCCTGATGACTCAGAGACTGACCCAATTATGCCTGACACTACCAGCCAAACTATAGTCCTCTGTGTGGCAAGTGAGTTCATTTAAGGGCTCAAATGTTTAATGCTCATTAGAAGAAATGCTAATATCAGAAAGCAAAAAGCTGTGAATCACAGTGGATATGAAATTTATTAGACAGCAGGACTAGATTCCTGCATATCCGCAAGAACGCTAGCTTCAGAAGGTCAGATGCACTGTGAAGCCCTCCCCAGATTACCAATCTCTGCAGCTCTGGAAGGCTCCACAGCATCCAGTCTGGGTTCCACATTTAGGAAGAGGCCTTCTCCACTGGCATTGACAGCAAGACCAGAGGGTCTCACCAACATCCACATCCGATGCTTACCAACCGGTAGCAGCTCTGTCTGACAGACCACATTTGTTTGGTTTGAGAAAATAACTTTGCAACTTGTTTCGTTGACTGTAACCTGCAAGGACTGGGAGTCATCAGAGAAACCAGTTCCAGAAATATAAACCAGTAGGCTGATGTCATCATCTTAAAGGAGGAAAAAAAATAAAAAACAGAATCATCTCTCAGTGGTATCCTTCCATGTAAGAGACCTCTCTCTAACATCAAATGTCCATTCATTCCTTCTCACCTTCCCCTCCCAAACTTCAGAGAGTTGAATGCTGACTCAAATACCAGGCATCTGCATTTATTATTGTAGTACACAGCCCCCCATTTTAGATTTCCTTAAATTAGTAGTGAGAGACCACTGTTCAATTTTTTAAAAAAAGAAAAAATCAAAATAAAGAATATTTCAGGGCCGGCCCGTGGCTCACTCGGGAGAGTGTGGTGTTGATAACACCAAGGCCATGGGTTCAGATCCTATATAGGGATGGCCAGTTGGCTCACTGGCTGAGCGTGGTGCTGACAACACCAAGCCAAGGGTTAAGATCCCCTTACTGGTCATCTTTAAATAAATAAATAAATAAATAAAAAATAAAGAATATTTCAAAACAAGGGACAAAGAATAAAACATTTTAGGTCATCAAAAATCAACTTGTCCCCATTTAAAAACATGACCATATCCCTTCAACTGACCAAAAAGTACACTTTTGGCTGCATCACTCAACCTCCACCTAACAAACTGATACATCTTCTACCCACACATCATCAGCTACATGGCCTCAAACAAAATCACTCTTAGTCTAGGTTCATTCCCATCTCAGTGCCAAGCCACAAATCATACCAAGGGAATACCACACTGAATGGACCCAGGGAGTTGACACTTGGAGGTACTGGAAAGGACAGGAACCTGGGCAATGAGCTGGTATGTCATTCACTCGCACAACCACCTAAAAAACAAGCAAAAAAAATTTATACATTTTATATTATTCATAAAGTACTTGTGAAGTTTTCCCAAATTAAAATGTGTTCATGATTCACTTATTCTCATTTCTTTCTTTTATTTTCCCAGTGATAAACTTTAAATTGTGATGAATCACTCAAAACACGTTAAGCTTTGTTAAAATGATGATGGATATGCTTCAACCCATTTCTGCAATTAAATATGCTAAATCTTGAGTAAATTTTCTCTGTGATGTAGAAGTAAATTTCATAAACTTAAACTGCACTAAAATTTCTTATCACTCTGTATTTTCAACTAGGTACCCACTTCATGTGAAAAGCTCTTTTCTTGCTAGTAAAGACCAATGAAGTAGGTACTTTCTATCCACTGTCACTACATAAAAATATAACTAAAAACTAGAGTGTATCTGAACATTTGGTTTGGGGCCATTTTTGTCCTAGAATGGTAGGTTCGTAAGAGTCTGTATGTCTTTCCCTTTCACTGAAACTGTCAATCGAATAGAATTAAGCAATACCTGAAAATGAAGAACGTGAAAACAATATGACACACTTGATTCTCTACATATAAAAACTGGGCTTAAAAGCACACTCTATTATAATAGTGTTTGCTTATGAAGGGAAAGGATATTGAAATGGTGATGGCACAGGTGATAAAAAACATACTTCAATTTTACCTGTATTTTTTCCATAAAGACAAAAAACATAAATAAATCAAAATGTTGACAATTGTCAATCCTCAGTTTGGGTACCCAGAGGTTGATTATATTATACCTTATAGTTTTTTTATTTAAAAATATTCCCAAGTTAAATGCAGATGACTGATAACAGGAATATGGGCAGATGAGAAAGAGAAAAGGACATTTTAAGGACAGAAGGAGTTGATTTAGCTCATTTACTTTCCAATATCACTGTGTAGAGGCATAAATCATATTTAGCTATAGAGGTTCTCTTTTTTTGCACCATAATAATAGCATCAATAATTATAATAAGATGTTGTCATTACCAAGCATTTATGTTTTCATAGTACTTTATGCACACTGTGGAAGTAGAAAGAGGACAACCATAAGTGTCCCTGTTTTACTTATTAGAAAAACGACCTTTGGCAGCGAAATCAACTAGTCCATGCTACAAATCAGTGAGGAACTGAGTTAGACTTGAAACTGGTGCTCGCACTTTGGGTGGCCCATCCGCTCTCACCTGAGTGTGCTGGCTGGCAGTAGCCAACATGTCTCCAAGTATGGGTCCAAGAAAAACTCCACCATCATATACCACATGAGTGGTTGCAACAGGATTCACTCCAGTAAGATTTTCATTGGAGACCTGAGATAATTACATTTTTGGTAAATTCTGTCATGGAACAGAAATCTCATCTTGATTTAAAAAACTATAAGGGGGTCTTTTCACATTCTTTTTGAGCTAATCCAACAGCTAAAAAGTGAAAATGGAGTGACAGAAAATTGAAATCTAGAAACCTCACAGTAAGTAATGGCTAATGAAATCCCCAGTAGATTGAAAGAATATTTATTTACATGTAAAGTTGCCAAAAGAGGTACATCCAACCAATCTTCTCTCTACGTCTTGAGATATTTTGCTTCTCTATGCTTCTCTATTTTATATGTTTGCAATTCAAAATGTTAAAATAAAATGTAAGGAAATGGTGCTATGAAATAAGAGCAAAACGCCCATCCTTCCTCCATCTCCACCCCAGTGTTTTGTTTGAAAACCAGATGACCCACCATACCATATAACAAGGATAAGAGTTCATCTTGGGCTTCATTTTATAATAACCAAATGCTAGATGATCATTAGATTATTTTTTAAAACCCTAAATATGCAAGAGCATCTGGTTTCATCATTATCCAAAGACAGCAAATTCTTTTCTAAACTTCCTTCTGCTCTGCCATCTGCCTCCACAATAATCTAAGTCAATCACATCTGCTTAAATTATCCAATAACAGATGTAGAAACATTATATGGTGGACACTGACCAACAACTTCCCAACGTACACTGAGTTAGGAAAGGAGACGTTAGGTTTAAATTGCTTTATCAGGAATATGAGATACAAAATATGTGTTGAAAACTTCCAGAAAGAAAGATTATAGAATCCCTTTACTTGAATATTTCAACAAAATCAATAATCATGGCAGTTTTCATTTGTATAATTCTGATTTTTCTTTTACAAAATTTCTCCACAGCACCAAATCCATGCCACCAAAAGGGATGCCATACATACCCTGATAAAATTGGGCAAATCCCCAATCTGGGCAGACCAGGAAAGGGTCCATACATGTTCATAGCAAGAGTTTAGATCCTCCTTTACAGTGAAGTCACTGACATTGAGGTATCTGGATGTGAAGTCATCAGCATTGTCCTGTAAGAGCTTGTGAAGGTGACTAGCAGAAATGTGCACAGGGACATCTGTGAGAAAAGGTTTTGATATAGAACACAGAAGACACTAATTAATCCACCTTGCAGGGTCTCAACATCAAAGGTAACAGACTAAATGCCAGGATGCCTAATAAATTTGCATGAGACTCTCAAAGTCAAAATATGGCTTCAAGAGAACCCCCAGCCAAACTTACACCATTTTTTCCCCAAAGCAAATGCAAGTAGATGCCCACTTTTTACATCATAACACCTTTCACCAGTATTACATTGCATAGCAAGCAGTGAGCACAGTCACATGAGACAAAACTAGACTGTCCACTCAAAGTGTAAATGCCAGACATCCTTTTAATGCCTGAATCCAAAGCAAATGCAAGTAGATGCCCACTTTTTACATCATAACACCTTTCACCAGTATTACATCGCATAGCAAGCAGTGAGCACAGTCACATGAAACAAAACTAGACTGTCCACTCAAAGTGTAAATGCCAGACATCCTTTTAATGCCTGAATATCTAATTAAATATTGGGTTTTCCCTGGAAAAATCCAATATTTTTTTCTGGCCCTGTGGACAGAAAAAAGTTGGCCACTTTTCACAGGGACAGGAGGAGGCATACAGCAGCTGACACCCGTAAAAACTTAGCCAACCCAGCTGAGGAATGTTGGCATTTAACTTTGGTTTCTCTATTAGAATTTTCTTTAAGCCCAGCCACCTGCTTCCCCATTCCACATCCCCAAAGAGAAATAGCAACGCTCTGTGTCTAAACTCTGCTTCATACTTTACCAAAAGTTTCCATCTCATTAGCTGCTCCCAACAGCCCTGTGAGGTGAGTCGTTTGGGTACCCTAATGCCAACTTTAGAGATGATGAAAATGAAATCCAGTGATATTCAGAAGCTTGCCAACTCAGTGAGACAGGTTTAGATTAAAACCCAGGCTGCCTTCTACCTACTCAAGAGCCTTCCTCTTGAATTCCACTCTGCCCTGAAGGGTTAATAAAACTCCCCTGCATTTCTAAAATGCAAACAAAATTCACATCCTTTTAAAAACATTTTTTCCACATTTATACATAATTTCAGGTCCATGACCGTTTCAAAAGGCCAAGTTAAGACTGATTTTCACTGGTTGTCTTTCAAGCAGAATATGAGGACATCAGCAATAGAACCTAGTAGCAGGAAAAGTCTCTCTATAGTTAAGCTGTCTCTACATGAGAAGAGAAATATAGCACAGTAAGAGACTTCATAGAGGCAGGGCACTGTTGGCACTTATTCACCCCCTTATCAGACTCCAGTAACCAAAAACAACACTCCATTTCTCCCACTCAAAAAGACCCTTTGCAAGCCTGCCGTCTTTCTGCTTGGGAGGGCAGAAGACGTTCAGACCATGTATCAACTTTTGTCCAGCCCTCCTCAAGTCCTTTTGTACTTTCCTTCTGATTCCCCACGTTTCTACCAAGTAAGTAACACATCTTTATAACTTCTAATTCTTGTTTTTTGGGAAATATGTGTATTCTTGAAGATTTAACAACACTACACATTGCATCAGAGAGCTCTTTCTACATTTGTTGTGACCACTAAAACCCTCAACAGCATATGGCAGGACCTTTGAGTTTAACTCTGAAAGCTCATGGCCACCATGGATCTTGGCACAGGAAACTCTACAGAGAAGAGGACTGATCTGAGAACCAAATACCCAGGTTCACATCCCCACCCTGCCATCAACTATTGTACTGTCTTTGGGCAAGCCTCACTGCAGTTACCTGAACGGTGGCCCCCAAATGATGCGACAATGTCTTAACCCCCAGAGCACATGAGTGTTGTCTCACAAGATGAAAGAATGAATATTACCTTGTATGGCAAAAGATATAGTTAAGGTCTTGAGAGGAGGAGTTTATCCTAGATTATCCAGGTGGGCAGCAGATGTAATCATATGTATCCTTACAAGAGAGAGCCAGAGGAAGTTTTGAGACAGAAGAGGAGGCAGCAATGTGACCAGAAAAGCAGAGGTTGGAGTGATGTAGCATCAGCCAAGGAACGCCAGAAGCCACCAGAAGCTGGAAGAGGCAGGCAACGGGATCCTCCCCTAGAGTTTTTGGAGGGAATATGGCCCCGCTGACAAATTGATTTTAGACTTCTGACCTACAGAACTGGAGGGGAATAAATTTCTGTTGTTTTAAGTCACCGAGTTTGTGGTAATTCATTACAACAGCCCCAGGAAGGTCATTCATCCAGTTTCCACATCTCTAAAATTAAAAGATTGGGATCTTATTAACAATAAGTCCTTCTCCAGATCTTTAATTTTAAGAAGGTCATTTTCAGACCCTGGAAAATAAGCAAAATAGCTTTAAGACTGTCATCCTATCTGACAACCTCACAGGATGTTGTTTGCCTGGGAATGCCCCTAAATATGTAAATGAGAAGTGTTGCACCCGTAATAACTTCGTATAGAATACATTATACGAAGTTATACGAAAGTATGCAAGACAAAACCAAGGTTTTCCTCAAAACCCTTTAGAGGGTGTTTCTGCATATGGGTAAGTAGTGACTTAGAGTATTATTGATCACATTATTATATGTATTCATTACATGCTCAGCTTTTCTATAAATTCCTTGCTGGTAGACCTCAGCCTGGTTCCCTTTACCCCTGTAGCTGCATTTCCCAAACTGTGCTATCATAGAAATTGCCTGTTAAAATGCATATTACTCAGGAGGG